ATTAGAGAACATCAACGAAGTTCCAATAATTAAATAAAAAAAAGCGAGAAAGCTTAAAGGAAATCCAGAGAACTTCTAATACATTTGGATATTTTTAGATGGTTTCATGATAATTAGCGAACTTCAGAGTACTTCGACGACGATCAGATAGCTTCAGAATAATCCCATTAGCTTAAGCAAATTGTAGCGACTTACGGAGTTCCGTGGAATTATGGGGTATTCCAAGAATTCTATGATTGATCCGAAAACGTCAGTAGCGTCAGGGTATTATGAATATATATCAGAAAATTTGAAGGATTATCAAACAAATTTAGAGAACTTCAGGTGGGCATAGATAAGTTCAGGGAAAATTAGTGACCGTTTATAACTATTATAATACTTAAGGAAAATTGTCGGAATTTCAAGGCAAATCATTAAATTTCAGTAAAATTGCGGATTCTCAAAAAAATACTGATAAATTCACGGGAGTCTAGCGAACTTTGAGGAAATTCAATAATGGTTTGGGCAGTTTTAATACCCCCAGGAACTCTAGACTATTGAAAAAAATTAACATAGTGCCAATAATTTACGGAAAGTTTCATGAACTTCAGAAAAAATCATAGAACTATATTAATTATGTCGTTCTAATTCCATGAATATTGTGGGAGCACAAAAGATCCAGAAATGTAGAAAAACTTTGAAATCTTCTTTAGAAACATTTTGAGAAATTCATAGAAATCTATGGAGTCTAAGAGAAGAACCGCGCCCTTTGGGAATTTGTATGAACATTAGCAAAATTCTGGAGCATTTGATACAAGTTTTGTAAGCTTCGAAAATTGGAAAAAATTTCAGGGGGAGGTCAGTTCCATTAGTTTCAGAAAATTAGTGAAAATTTAAGGCAGTTCCCAGATTTTCAGATAATTTCAGATACGTTAAAAATTTAATTCTTCCCATGAGTTTAGAAGTTCAGTGAAGCTTAAACATTTGTAGGATGGTTCAATTAAATTCAGCGCAGTACCACAAGCTTCATGAACTGCAAAAACCTTAGAGAAGTTTTGGGAATTTCAGAAAAGAACAGAGATCCTCAGAGCAGTTCCGTTAACATTAGAGAAGTCACATCAATTTTAATGAAGCTTAGAGAACTTCAGCGAATTGTTAAACGTTTAGAAGAGATCTATGATCGTTAGAAAAAATGAGGAAACTTTAGAAAACTCAAAAATGTGAGCTATTTCCTTTGATTTGCCTGTATCGCTAAGAGGAAGAGTTTGCATCCTGTGAACCATGTGGTGAAAAGCGGCCATTTTGTGTTGATGGGAATTTTTTGAAGTGCTTGGTATTACTCTCTTTGTGTTTGTTGGTTTCCTATAGATTTCGAAATTGAACGAAGACGTTTCCCTGATGATGAGAAGATCTAAGAAGGGGAGTTTGTCGTCTCTCTCTTCTTCGTGAGTAAATTTGATGTCCTTGTGAACGTTGCTTATGGCCTCCACAGTTTTTGATAAATCTTCCCTTTTGACAATGCTAAAGATGTCATCCACGTACCTATACCAACATTTGGGCAACAAATTCTTATCCTCCAGAGTATTTTCTAGGTTAGCCATGAACAATTCACATAAAAATGAAGAAAGCGGATTGCCCATAGGAGCGCCTTTAGTTTGTTTATAGAAATTTCCTCTGAAAATGAAATAATTTTCCTCCATACAAAGACGAGTAAGCTTGAGATATGACCGAACTTTGTTTTTCCAAGTAGAATCCTCACGTTGCTTTGGCCTAGATTTAGTATTCAGCAGTAGGACAAATCAGCTGAAGTCAGTGTTAGGATCAACTAAAGATTCAATAAATGTCTTAGGGAAAGCCGGAGTCTACAAAATCTCTTGTCCAGATTGCAATAAAATCTACATTGGTCAGACGAAAAGGACTTTGGAAACAAGGTTTAAGGAACACATCGCAGAGGTAAAAAAGGCTAACAAAGAGATGGTTAAAGGACTTCATTATGAATTTAAATCCAAGGTTGCAGAACATATCGTTACAAAGGGGCACAATTTGACTAAGGAAAACATTAATATCCTGCGGACTGTATCTTCGCCTTGGAAACTAGACGTAGCTGAAAGTTTAGAAATATTTAAACATAATCCATCAACATTGCTTAATAGAGATCAAGGAAACGGATACTCGAGACTCTTTAGCATGCTACCTAAAACAACACATCGTAGCATGCATGCATACCTGTTGGAGACTGAATTTAGGTACCTGGTTAGGTAAATTTTGACATGGCAGTGGATACCTGCTGATTTTTAGTACCTATTGATTAGTATATAACTCGTAGATAAAAGATGGATTCTTCAGTGGTGTTGAGTACTTGGCACTGATGAAGTCTGCAAGTAGTAGACGAAATACGCGTATCTGTCAAAAGATAAGCAATTATAACGGATTTTAAAGGAAATAAACCAACCCACTCAAAGCTCTTCTTAAATATATATAATTTCGATATATGCAGTAAAAAATCGATTTTTTTGCAGTAGAAAAAAATCGAAATCTTCCCTACATTTTCTGGTATAGGTATTCTTAGCAGAATTCCTTAAATTGTTGGATCCCAGAAAGTTCTTTCAAGTTCCAAAACCTTGGAAATGTTTCATGGTGAATTCTGGGATCCCGCATTTTCAATATTTTCTAAGCCCCAGATTGATTTTTTTTTCTAAATCTAAGACCACGAAGGTTTTTATAATAAACAAATCTTGAATATACTTCGTAGTCTAGGACTATAAACAATTTGATTTGCATCGGGAAAACTCCGGAAATTTCAAAATGAAAATTCACTGGGTAGCCTATTGTAGTATGTCCCATGTCCTTATTTAGTGCATGTCGTATTACTCCATCACTATTCGGTTTTGATACAGTTGTCATTCTTGCCTTCATCGCAAGGAACCGATTCTAATTGAAAGGTTTCGCTATTTATACCCTTCAGAGTGTTGGAACACCCTCCAAAGGTGCGCCCCTTTGTCAGTCAAAATTAGATTTCTTAACAACAAAAACAAGCTATGACATCGATAATGACCATGCATCTTAACCACTTCAAACTAGGGAACAACGAATAGAAGATTTGGAATCACATAGATGAAGACAACTAACTCATTTTTTCCTTGTTTGAAGATCATCCTCGGTAGACAAAGCCGAGCCTTGTCACTATCAACAAGGCATAAAAAGTAACAAGGACTAAGATGTGTTCCTTGGATTACTGAAAAATCCTGTTCCCCTAGTTTGAAGTAGTCAGGACTAGGAATCGGTGGTAGATCTTACATCCCATAACGTACCACGAAGAGGTGATCTACCCACGTTACGGGGCATATGATATGGTTATCTGAGATAATAAATTTGACCATATGGAACCATAGTCCGGAACATCCGTAACCGATTCCAAAAATAAATAAAAAATACAATATGTTTTCGTAATGCTAACACCTCCGTGCCAACAAATTCCTGAATATATAACAAAGAAGGAGGGGGCTTGGGGGGAGTAGCACCCTACAGATGCAAGAACCAGTCACCGGAATGATGTTTAAAAAAATCAATTTATTCGGCCATGGCATGTCTGAGATACAATTTTTTGAAAATAAAAAGTTTGTCCCGGGCTTTTACGGGTTAAACGAGTTGACTTAACGTAATACACGATTTAATTTGCAAAAACAAAATCAATTTGAAAAGTCTTACGATATAATACAATCTTATTTGTGATACAGTACGACGGAAAAATGATTCATCGCATATAAGTCAGAAATTTGCATTCTATACGATTTAACTTAAACATAATGCGATGCATGTCGTTCTTATATGCGATGTTGATTTAAACGGTAGCAATTTGCGATGCTGTCTATACATTGCTATACGGCTTCTGGTTGTCTGGGTAAGATCCCAATTACACTTTACGTAGAAAGGCTGTCGTACATATATGGTTGATAGTTAGGAGTAAACCTTGCCCCCGTGGTTGTCGACCGCAGTAAAAAGAAATTTGCATAAAGAATGTCACTAATTAACTTAGCATTTGCATATATGCATTTGCTTTATGATAAATGCTAGTGCTAGACCAGTACTGGTTCACTGTCGGGCGTCAACACCCGCAGATGCGATTATACTGAGGCTGAAGGTCTACGACATTCCTGAACTCACGCTGCTTTTACATCACTGTGACCTTTTGTTGCAGCAAATCTCCATTCCTGGAATAGGTATTTGTAATCCTTTGCATCCGGAAATAGTTATTTACTAATCGCAAAGTTGACAACATTCCGTAATAGGTTGAAGGTTGCATTTCTAGACGAAATTCGTATGCTCAAATTCTTCCAAAAGGAATCCACTTCTGAGAGCCTCAATCACTGTAACCAATCTAAAGATAGGCTTCTTTACGCTCGAAGAACAATCAACTCTCATAATCGGCTTTATTTTAATGCCAAACGGGGATTACACTTTTATAGCTCTTAAGCTTCCATTTTTCAGCAGCAATCACGACAATCAGCAGAGCGCTTTGCGTTCATTTCCGGTACGCTGGAACACCGGAAAAAGCCGGCCGGTAACTGTTGCTCAACCCTCGCTCTCCATCATAATCTCGTTAACCCGGCGAGCCGGGAGATGGCACTCTCCGTCAGAGTTTCCATCCATGTCTAAGGCTGGTGGTTATGGAACAGCACCGAGACTTCTTATTCAACTCCCCCCCATGTTTGATTTCGCTATTTGATTTTCCTCCCGGGCGCAATTGCCAGCGGAAAACGGAAGCATCATCGTCCCCGTTCGTACAATCAAACTACTACACGATGAAACTGGGACCATGTGCGAATCCCGGCCATCTGCCTCACGCTACCTGTGGGACTTTCATGTACCCTCCCGGTATAATACAAGCTCCAGTGGTACTAAACGAATTAAATTTTAATTGAAAACTTTTTAATTAAATTATTGTCGCTGGTTTCACTGTGTATATGTATAACTCTCACACTTGACTCATCTCGCTTTTTCCTTTTTCCCTCTTATTTCAGAAAGTCGATCCGGAATTAATCTTCACAAAACAGGAACGAATCGGAAAAGGATCTTTCGGCGAAGTATTCAAAGGCGTTGACAACAGAACACAGCAGGTAAGAACCATCCCCTTTACTTTTCCTGGTGGTGATTAATTATCTATCTACACGGACCCAAACTTCCAATACATCTCCCAGAAGGGAAGTGCCGAACCGACAACTTCTTGCAGACGTTCATGTTCCATTCGGTGGACCAAACTACTTAGCAAAGAACGATTTTCGCCATCTTTCCTCTGGCCCGCCAATGATTTATTCGTTCAATTGAGGCGGAAAACTTTTTTCATTACATTACTGCAACATGGCTGTGATTTGAGGTCCTTCCGAGAAGCGCCTCGCCTATCCTATTCGGCGTAGAAGATACCGAACCATGCGAGAATCCATTTAATGGCGATAAATTTTTAATCTCTTGCTTACTTTCAACTTTTCTCGAAGCATGTAACCAGGGCCGTCGCTATTGCCGTTGTCGTCGGCGGTGGCGGCGTTTTCATCGGGTTATGTGTTAATTTTCTGCTGACACCATCACTCAAGTTTCGTTTAAAGTTCTAATCTTATTTGTCACCACATGCTCGTTTTATTCCTTTTTCTTTTCTCCCGGCAGGTTGTGGCGATCAAAATAATCGACCTAGAAGAAGCAGAAGATGAGATCGAAGACATACAGCAGGAAATTATGGTGCTATCACAGTGCGACTCCCCGTTCGTCACAAAGTACTTTGGGTCATATCTTAAGGTGAGTAGGTTAATGTACTTTAATTGATTTCTGTTGTGAACTGAGCTACTTCATTCCGTTATAATTGGGTATTAGAATAACTTCTTTCTGTTTCCCATGTAAAATGAAAGACAGATCAGCCAAGGAACAGACAAAATCTAAATGATGTCGGAAATATATTTTAAGCCTTTCCTATCCAACTTATGGTTAAGCTCTTGCGATGGTTTTGGCAAAATTTGATATTTTGATGTGTTCTTGATAACATGTTTTGACATCCGTGTGGTAGGGGAAATGGATGTAACGTCGGCCTAAATGCCCCATCGACTAAATTTTTAATAGCGACCAAAAATATTCATTAGTACCGTCCCAATGACGCGTTCCAGGGCTGTCCTGCATCAACGTAGAGAGAGCAAAGCCAGTGATGAAAAATATTGTATTACTATCCTCGTCGCACTCCAAACAGCGCATGACAAATTCGGTACCAAGAAAGTCCTCTTTCATTTACGTCGTGAAAAAAAACTATCTCAGTATGTTCTCTCTCTCTTATATCTGTCGGTTACTCGGTTACTGTGGAAGCAACACAAAAAACTTAAAACGGGTACAAAATGGTTTCGAACCACCAACGTTGAGAGATTATCAGGCTTGTGTCTTTACCACTAGTTTATCAACGCTTAAGGGAATGGAAAGGCTAAAGGAAACCAAGAAGCGCTTATAGTGTGGTAACTAGTCTGCTCACATGCACGTTCGACGGTATTGAAAAAAGAGAAATGACGGTAAAAGGATTTGTTCAAAGGTATTATTGTCGGCCTCTCTTCGTCAATGACGAAGGATGTATGGAAATGATGGTTTTTGTATCGCGATAATTTATTTTTGGTTTTCGTCAAACGTCACTGACCAAGCTGACCGTTACCAACTCTGACGCGTTCATCTAGATAAAATTGATAAATAGCAGATTTTTAGCGATGGGCCCAATCTTAGTTCCATGGGCCAACATTAGAGCCATCTCCCCTGATTGTTGTTGTGTTATTTATTTAAGACATAATACATCCACCGGATGCATTCGTGTCTACAATCGTGTGGCTGAGCTAACATTAATCATAACAAAAATGAGATCTAAAAGGCAAATGAAAGATATTAAAAAAATACAAATCTAGCTTTCTTGATTGAGCTATTATTTTATTACAATTCACTGTATTAACTACTTCTATTTATTAGATATCAAGTTTATTTTGACTCAAAAGATAAGAAAATAAAAAAAAAGGTTTCAGTGTTAAATGTGCATGATCTTTTCATCAAATATCAAATTTTTCGTTGTATAATTTTTTTATAAATATAAAAATAATATCAAATTATAAATTCAACCTAAATTAAAACAATAATAATACAAAAAAAATGTTCTCAACATGATTTCAAAAACATAATTTTATATAATTTTGAAAATATAAAATATTTTTTGATATCCGACTTTGATCGGGAAGTGTTTCAGTGACTTCAAATTTTTTCAGGTGAATCTCGTGTTTACATATATCTGTAAGTAGCCACCCTAACTTGGGTCTTGTCTTGCATGCGGTTCCACTTAGCAGAAAGATCAAATTTTGCTATCGTCCGAATTCAACATACAGCTGCTATATGCAGGGACCAAAGGTCCCTTAAGGTGATTCCTTGTTGAGTCCACAAATGGCTGCTACGTAGGCTATACATGCACTTCCACTTCAAATTTTCAATTACACAAATCTCGGAAATCAGTGCCCAATTCCTTGCTACTTCATGTATTCTGCAGTGCAGCAAACGAAGAGTAACAATTGGAATGTTGCACGTGTCGTAGAAGCTGATATTTGTGCACTCAAAGTTTCGAAGTGGTTCCGAGAATAAGGATGTCACAGCCTCTGCACGTCGTCCCGTTCCGGAAATACCCATATTGCAGGGTATTTGACAGTTTTTCTTGAACCAATTACCTCCATATTGGATTTCAAAATGGCATCTGGCATCGGTTTTCGACCTCTACACGTTATCCCCATATTTTAGGGTATTTGACAGTTTTTCTTGAACCGATGGCCTTGGATTGCATTTCAAAATGGAATCTGGCATGCTTTTCCGGCCTCTACACGTCATCCTCTTTCCGAAAATACCCATATTGTAGGGTATTTGACAGTTTTTCTTGAACCGATGGCCGCCATCTTGGATTCGAGAATTGCCTCTGGCATCCATTTCCAGCCTCTACACATCGTCCCCTTTCCGAAAATACCCATATTGACAGTTTTTCTTGAATCGATGACCGCCATCTTGGATTTTAAAATGGCGTCCAAAATCGATTTACAGCTTCTCTACACGTCATCCCTATTCCGTTTCGTGTTCTCACATTGCACAGCAACATCTTATATGGACAAGCTTTTCAGATATAACATATTAAGGAAGTTCATGTGCACACTAGTGCCGTGTAGTGAGAGAGTTCTTAAATAATATGACCACCATCCAAAAGGACTTTTTTTTTTCTCCTTTATTATAGAGATTTTTAGCCATAGGCTAGTTCATCTCTTACCAAAAGGACTTAATATTTGCTCAAGACAGCAACGTTCTATATGGCCAGGATCTCGAGATACAGTTTATATAGGAAGTTCACATGCACCTAGCACTGCGTAGTGAGAGAGTTCTGAACTAATATGAACACCATCCGAAAGGACTTGGTCACTTGAACAACTTTGCTCAAGACAGTAACTTGCTATATGGCTAGGATCACGAAATATTCTATGTTGGACCAATGATCCATATATTATAGCACCCGTCATAAGTAACATAAAAGTGAAGCGCCTCTAGCGGCGTAGTTCCCAAATAATACTGAATCCAATGACACAGGCTTGTTGGTCTATTTCAGTACAACAACTTTGTCGAAGACAGTATAGCTCTATATATTGAAACAAATGAGATAATTCACCACAGCCCCTATTAGTGAAAATCCCATAAGCTGTGGGTATCCTTATTCGCGGTACCTTATTCACGCCCCTGTTACCCCGGCAATAAGGTGAAAAGTATTACTGAACTTCCAGTAATTCCTTGAAATTCTCTTCTTCTACTGCTCTGGAAATCTCTTCCGAATTACCTTGGAATAATCTTTGGGATTTTTGTCGGATTTCCATTGGAATTTTGTTTGAGATTCCTTTGAAATTCATCTGAGCATTAAAATTCCTTTCTTTGGAACTCTTCCAGTATTTACTTGCAGCTCTGATCAGAATTCCCCACATTTTTTTTAATTTGGTCGGACTAAGGATTTTTTTAATTTCGAGAAAAAAACTAGCTTCTTATGTGATGGGACAAGACTGTTTGTCTTTTCTTACTTTTATTTAACGTCGGTCTCTGTTCCGCAATCTAGTGCCTATCACCGACGGACATCGATTGCCATCCATTGACGACAATCGAATGTGCAGGAATGCAGCTTCCTCACCTGCGTAGGATATCGCACCCATTCAACACACATGGGCCGGGACCAACGGCTTTACTTCTCTTCCGAAGGAAGACGTGACCAAAGATTTTTATGCCTCAGAAAAATCCCACCGATCTCGGCTGGGATTAAACCCAGACCCATTGGGGTGAGAAAGCAGTCACGCTTACCACTTCACCACCGGCGCCGGCCAAGACTGTTTGTAAAATTTTTAAAATCTGACAAAAGTGAAATAGGGTTAACTACCCCATTTCCGGCCTATTAAACATAACCCGCACTTAGCCTTTCTTAATCTAGCGCAGTTTAGCACCAAACGGAATGGGGGGAGGTAGCTCATCGATTCTTCCGGTTCGCCTCCTAGCATCGTGCTATAAGGTACCAGGCGATAACCAGGGTAGTTGATCGATAGCTCGGTGACGTCATTTCGTTGGCGTCTGCTATGGGAAATTCTCATAGCAGGCGTTGACGATGGGACGTTGTCGAGTTGTTGAATAGCAACTATCGTGGTAACTCACCGATTACCTGTCGATCTGCCAAATTTGGAAAGACGTCTGCATTGAATTGTCTCATATAATAATATTCCGCCCACTATATCACACGAAATTGCGAGTAGTTGAGTGGAATGGAGATAAGTTAAGCATTGGGTACAGGACCAAGTCTCCCCTGGGTGGTGCCAGAAGATGAGCGCAGTAGAATCATCAAGTTGCCATAAGTCACGGAATGAGACTATTGCATGGCTGGGTAGTCAAAGTCTTCCATTCGTTAGTCATTTCAGGTGGATTAGAACAGGTTTAGGTTTAGGGTGGGCGTTGGCCAGATTTGGATTTTTCAGATATAATCCTAAATAGAACCTAGATTATTTAATACACTAGTAACCTCAACTTCTGTCACAATGTTTCATTGTGACTAATCAACACTCAATGGGTAAAATATCAAATTTGCGGTAAATTTGAAAAAAAAGGGAACTTGGAGTGTAGAGTGCACTGCCCACTGGACGATTCTGAAGCCTGACCAAGTGAGTGGGTTACGGGTTTATTTGATTGTACGTCATTTCCAAGTTATATATAGATACATTCATACCATTGGCATTTTGTATTTGAGATAAGACAGAGACAGGATGCGGAGGGCCCGCTTAGGGGGAGCGTAACCCATGTTATGGCTTCTATTTATTAAATAGTTCAGATTAGAGTCGGTGTATAATGAGTCACGCCAAGAGTGAAGCCAAGTCTACCTATTGAACAGTCAAACCGGCTACCTATCGTGCAAAGTAAATAAACATTACGATGCTATGAAAGGTCCGTGAAAGGTATTGCAATAAAATATAAAATATAATCGAAGAAATGAGCATAAACACGCAGTGAGTGTTAAATTGTCATGGGATACGCTCGGTAATAATAAGTAATGATAATTTCTACTATTTTTTGTCAAGATAATTTGACAAAATCACTGATATAATGATTTACTACAGCCGCAATATTTTTTCTCTCGCTAGAAGTCATTTGAAGTTGTTGTAGAAGTCCTCTGTTGCCAAGTGAAAAGAATGGGAATCGTTCGAAAACCGTGATGCGAGTTCAACTGTTTTTCT